CGCGTACCATTACACTCCCAAATCCCAATTAAATGACAGTCTTCGGCGCATTAAAATAATTTTTTATTTTACGTAGTATATGTGTTTTTAATAAACAGATATGCGAAACAGATTGCCATTTATTGTCAATACGTACTGCGACTGAAATGCGATTCATCGCATTTTGTTCGCAGTTCTGCGATTTTGAAGAGTCGCCTCTTCTCCGAAACGTCCCCTCAGTCTTCGGCGAATAATAACGGCGCGCATACCAAGGAAATCATTTATTTATTGTCAATACGCTATGCGAATGAGAAGAGTCGCTCTGAAATGTCCCCTCAGTCTTTGGCAAAATTAATAACGGCGCGTGTATCAAGGAGGATAGATATCTTCTTTAACCAGATATGCGAAATTATTTATTGTTAATACTTATGCGAATGAAGTGCGATTCATCGCATTTTGTTCGCACTGCTGCGAATTTGAAGAGTCAATCCGAAACGTCCCCTCAAACTAATAACGGCGCGCGTATCAAGGAGGATAGTTATCTTCATTAGTCCTCTATAAAAGGTACCTGAGATGAGATCAATTATAGGATCAGGACCCATCTTCCAATTCTTTAACTCTCGATTTTCCTCAACATGCCGGTCAACGAAGTTTCTTCGTTGTACAGACTTGTTGAATAAAATTAAAGGTCGAAGAATTGAGAGATGGGTCCTGATCCTCCTTTTGTCTTTGAGGGTACGCTCCCTTTCACTGTCGTAGCCTCCTCAATCTAGTATACCTCGGAAGTCCAAGCACTCGCCCTGGAGATCCCATGTCTGCCCAGGCACATGGTCACCTCACATTGAAAGCTAAAAACATTGGAAACTGAAAAAGCTGTTGGTGACCATGTGTTTGGGAAGACGTGGAATCTCCGGAGAATTGCTTGGTCTTCCGGGGTTTACTAGATTGAGGCGACTACGACGGCGAGAGGGAGCACGCCTTCAAAGACAAAGGTTCTTGTTCTTCCGGGGTATACTACTTTTTATTAATGGAAGTCAGACCATTGATATAAATCCCGTTTTCCATTTTCTTCAACTGGTGTACAAAATCCACTAGCCAAGACAGATGTGAAAACGGAGATTCAAAGTCAAACAAGGGATGGCGATTAATTTCGTTCGACTCACAGACCTATCCCTTCTAACAAACAATGGCGAGAAGATCCCGTACCTCCTCTGCAACAGACTCCGCTGCCCAAATGTTTCGAGAGGCAGATTGTGGTATGAGGAAATGCTGAACGTAGTACCGGGTTTGAAGTAGTACCTCATATACTGGAGGGCTTAACGGTTCAAAGCATATCGGACAATCTACAACTTCTGACTCGGTAATGGTCACTGACACTTGTTAAATAACTTTTACTGATTTACCTTATAATTTTTTACTGTGGTAAATAACTTTTACTACGGTAAATAAATTTTACTGCGGTAAATAAATTTTTACTGCGGTAAATAATTTTTACTGACTTACTAAAATATGGGGTATTACAGAAATGGTTCCCTCCGACGATGACCAAATCATACATGAATATGGTGACGTCGTCATCATAAAGGAGAGCGACGTTCAAGCAATGGAGAAGAAAGAGGAAAAGGTAATGCAGCGCTTGGGCCAAAGAATAATAAATCACCTAGATGCGGTGGATAAAGGCAAAGCTGATGCTGGGAATCCTCAATCTTCAATGGCTGAAGGGGCTTCGACGTCGGGAACAAACAAGGAAAATCCAGAAGACACTTCATAATTTGATGTTGTTTTTCATCTCTATTTACCGAATGTAATGGCAATATTTTGTTATGAATGAAATTTCAATGCTTAGTTTATGAATGAAACATGTCGGAGCGACAATGAATGAATGTTTAGTAAATTATTTTTTTGACAATTCCGACATAATATTCAGTATTTATTAATTACCTTCTTATAAATTTGATTGAATTCTTGATATCGGAATAGTTTACAATGTATCCGATATCTATGAACTTTTTACCAGAACAAGCCATACTAAACTTGCTTTTATTGTAAAAGTCTTTGAATTATTCAAAGAACTTGAAAACTTTTATTGCGAGCTCATCAAATCAACGTCGGGATTTGAAATTGTAGAGCATAAGCCTCCCCAAACCATCTTCAGGGCTTGGAAGTATCTGGCTTCATTGTGTTTGGCTAGGTCGTACCAACTTCAAGGTACAAACATGTTTAGCCTTAGCAACGGGGACCAATTTATTGGGGTCCGAGTGAGCCAACAAATTATAGTGGTTCGCCACACAAACTTTATTGACAACAAAAGTTAATCTTGTACATAGGTAAAGCAAAAGTCTCTATACATCAGAGATAAAGGGTCAACCCTTGGTTTACTGGAAGTATTTCTTCAGATAGGTCGCATGCCAAGGGTATTGAAGGGGAACATTATCCAAAGTTTCAAGTCGGTAAGTGCCATTAAAAATCAGACGGTTTACTTTGAAGGGCCCTTCCCACTTTGGTTGCAACGGACCGGCGTTGGCCCCGGTAACTCTTTTCAAAACATGGTCTCCTATGACAAACGAGCGCGGCTTAAGCTTCGAGTTAATATATTTTTCACTACGTCGTTTGTAAGCAGCATTCCGAATTTCAGCTTCGGTCTGCAACTCATCGACCAAGTCAAGGATGGTTCTCAAGCTTTCCGAGTTGGCTTCTTCGGATAAATGGGCAATCCGATATGTCGGAGAAGTAAGTTCAACAGGTATCACGGCTTCAGTTCCGTGGGTTAATGAGAACGGAATTTCTCCAGTTGAGTTTCGCGTCGTCGTTCGATAGGCCCAAAGGACATGAGATAGTTCGTCAGGCCAAGATCCTTTTGCGGTTTCAAGTCGGGTCTTCAAGCCGTTCTTGATGATCTTGTTTACAGCTTCTATCTGTCCATTAGCTTGTGGATGATATGGTGATGAGAAGAAATGTTTGATGCCATAATCTTTACAAAAGCCTTCGAATCTTTTTCCTTCAAGCTGACGGCCGTTGTCAGTTATAATGGAGTTCGGTATTCCAAACCGACAAACTATGGACTTCCAGACAAAATCAATCATCTTTCGTTCGGTGATGATGGCAAGAGGTTCGGCTTCTACCTATTTGGTGAAGTAGTCGACAACCAATATAGCAAAACGAATACCTCCCTTTGCTGTTGGTAGGGGACCAATTAAATCAATTCCCCATTTCGCGAATGGCCATGGACTATATATTGACTTGAGAGATTCAGGATGTTGGCTAACATTGGGAGCAAATATTTGACATTTATGACATTTTCGTACCCAGTCGGCGGCATCTTTCTTGACGGTCGGCCAATAGTATCCTTGTCGAAGAATTTTTTGAAACAAAGCTTGTGCTCCTTGATGGGTACCACAGACACCTTCATGCACTTCCTCAAGTATACGTTGGGCGTCAGTTTCCGACAAGCATTTAAGTAATGGAGCGGAATATCCACGCTTGTATAATGTTCCTTGATCGATCGTGAAATGAGCAGCACGGACGCGAAGGGTACGAGCTTCTCTTGGATCTTCAAGCGTGGCCCCGGTCTGAAGATAGTTGATGATGGGATCCATCCAGGTTGAATTTGGAATTGGCGGAGCAGCATCCATCATGGTGACGTCGGTAGTGATTGTTGAAGAAGTTGGATGTTGAGTAATCTGCACAAACTCAACGTTGTTCAAATCGGTAGAAGAGGCTAAACGTGAGAGAGCATCCGCCTGAATGTTGGATGTCCGAGGTATATGCTCTAATGTCATTTTGAATTGGGATAATTTTTTCTTGGCAAGATCGAAATATGGAAGCAATCGAGTCTCCTTGACTTCATAAGTGCCGTTAATATGGCTGACAAGTAATTGAGAGTCAGAAAATATGCGGAGGGAGGAAACACTCAAGGATTTCGCAAAACGTAGGCCTGATAAAAGAGCTTCATATTCAGCTTCATTGTTTGTAGCCGGGAAGGTGAATGCTACAGAATAACAAAAAACTTGTTGGTCAGGGATGACTAAAATGATTCCTCCTCCGGCTCGTATAGCGGTAGATGATCCGACGACGTAAAGAGTCCACGTTGGATCTTCAATTGATGTATTCATGGACGGGGTGAATTCGGCTATGAAGTCGGATAACACCTGGGCTTTGATAACAGTTTGTGGTCGATACTGGATGTCAAACTGTCCGAGTTCTATAGCCCACTTGATCATTCTACCCGACGTATCTGGTCGGTGAAGGATTTGTCGAAGAGGATATGACGTAAACACGATGATAGAATGTTCCAAAAAATAATGTCGTAACTTATATGCAGAAATAGTTAGAGCGAAGGCTAGTTTCTCCATGTACGGGTATCGCAATTCAGCATCATGTAAGGCCTTGCTAACATAATATATCGGAAACTGTTGGAGTCCATCTTGCCGTATGAGAATAGCACTAACAGCAGCATCACTTACTCCCAAATATAAATATAAAGGTTCATCGGGAAGAGGTTTCTGCAACGTCGGAAGATGTGAAAGAACTTCTTTAATGTTATCAAAAGCATTTTGACGCTCAATGGTCCATTCAAACGGCTTTTTCTTCCTGATTGCATCAAAGAAAGGCTTGCAATGATCTTTCGATTTTGAAATGAATCGATTCAGAGCTGCTAGTCGACCAGTTAAATCTTGAACACCTTTAATGGACGTCGGAGGAGTCAAATCAAGTATGGCCTGAATCTTGACGGGATTAGCTTCGATCCCCCTTTGGCTCACCATGTATCCTAAAAATTTTCCTGATCCAACCCCGAAGGTGAACTTTTTAGGGTTAAGTACCATTGAATATTCTCGGAGAATGTCAAAGACTTCAGAAAGATGAGCGATATGATCAGGAGCTTGTTCCGATTTCACCAACATGTCGTCTACGTAAACTTCCATTGTACGTCCGATCAAATGAGCGAACATTTTTTTGACCAGCCTCTGATATGTGGCCCCAGCATTCTTCAGTCCAAAAGTCATCCTGACGTAGCAGTAAAGACCTCGGGCCGAATAAAACGAAGGGTGTTCAGCATCATCGGGGTGCATGGGAATTTGATTATAGCCGGAATAAGCGTCCAAAAAACTCATAAGCTGATGTCCCGCTGTGGCGTCTACCATGTAATCGATGTGTGGAATTGGATAACTATCTTTCGGACATGCTTGGTTCAGAACCGAGAAGTCGATGCATAGGCGCCACAGGCCACTACTTTTCTTGACCAAAACAGGATTTGATATCCACGTCGGGTATTTGGCTTCTTTAACAAACTTATTGTCTATGAGTTTGTTCACTTCTTCTTCCAACGCTTTCTGACGATCTGGTCCGAATTTTCGGCGTTTTTGTATGACGGGCTTGACAGTCTTATCCAAATTCAGCCGATGACATGCTTTTTGCGGGTCTATTCCCTTCATGTCTTTATGCTTCCAAGCAAATACATCGGAATTTGATCGAAGGAATTGAATTAGGTGAGAGCGCATTGGTTCTTGAAGATTAGCTCCAATACGCACTGATTTGTCTTGAGTTAGTTCATCCACATGAATAACCTCAGCATCCTCAACGGGTTCCGCCCGAATGTGGTGACTCTTGTCTTTGAATGGCATCCTTGGATCTGTATCCTCGGGTGACTTCATGTCCTCCTCGTGAAGCTGTTGTCCTTGGTTAAGGGTTCCATTCAAAATTTCGGGGAACTCCAACATCCTAGTGACGTCGGTACCAGATGCAGACGGGATGTCGGTAACTGAGGTGGATTGATCAGTTATCGTGGCATCGGAAGGAATTGGATCTTCCAGATTAACAGAATTATCAATCTCCTGTGCTTCATATACATGAATGTTGTGCGAAGTCGGAGCCAATGTCAGATTTCGTGCCTCCTACTGATATCCATAATGAGTGCCTTCTCCTTCAAGAGTGGGAAATTTTAAGGCATAATGAAAAATTGACACAGCAGCATAGAGTTTATAAAGAGCGGTACGTCCGACAAAAGCATTATACTCGTTCTGAATATCCAAGACTTTGAAAGTTTCCATAATGATCTTGGATTTTGGTCCGAAGCCACCAAATCGAATGGGGAGTAAAATTTCACCAAAGCAAGAAATGCTTCCATTGAAGCCTTGAATCTGGTCATTGCAAGGCCTGATATCGGCGGGATCCAAACCCAATTTCTTGAAAGTGCGAAACATCAAAATACTTGAATAAGCTCCAGTATCAACCATGATTCGGTGAACAGGAATTCCTCCAATTGGAGCGGTGATGATAAGGGCATCGGAGTGAGGATGAGCAAACAAGTTGGAATCTTCGATGCTGAATGTAATAGGACAATTTCGCTTATTAATAGTATCTCGAAGATTAATATTCATAACTTGTTTTCCGGCGTTATATGCTTCTCTGGCATAGGCTTTTGCTTTTCGCCGGGATTTGTCCAACTGTTTTGTGTTAGAATTTACTCGAGGTATATGATGAGGAGAGTTTGATGCATCATGCATTCTGGGTTTTTTATTGTTGTCGGTCGACGTGCCGACAGAAGTAGAAAATGTGAAAACTTCCTTATCGCTCGCACGAATCCTCTTTGGATTGACGGCCCGATCATCATCATCTTCTTCATCCGAAACATCAGCGGGCCTTCCTTTACGGCGATTATCAAAATTTCTGAACTTTTGAAGTTGCGGTTGCCCAATTAAACGCAGAAGGGCCGACAAGAGGTCGAGACACTCATCGGTATTGTGTCCCAGGGATTTATGGTACGCACAGTATCGAGTTTTGTCAAGATTGTCTTTAGGAGTTCTTACAGGTTTCGGATCAGGAATAATTCCCTTTCCTTTCAGTTCTTCAAAAATTGTGGCTGCTCTGGCCGAATAAACGGTTTGAGAACCTGTTCTCACACGTTGTCAGCGTATTGGTCTCGGGCAGCTCTGGATTCTGAGGTATCTTCATAACCTTTCGAGTAATTCCGATATTGCGCCTTTCCAAAATTCTTTTTATTCTTCTTCTTTGCATCCGACTCAGTTTTGTTTTCTTTCACCGAGAAGTCAAAACTAGGAACCGACATCGATTCTTCGGCGATAATGAATTGTTGAGCTCGTAAGAGAAATTCTTAAAAAGTAGCCGATTTATTCTGACATAAAGTCCAACGAAACATCGATATGGGCGTCAATCCAGCAATTGCGGTCACTAACAAGGTCTCAGGGTGACATGGTTCCATATTCTGAATTCAGTCATTGAACCGAGATATATAGTTCTTAACCGTTTTGTCATCCTTTTACACGATATTAGTGATTGATTCCTTCGGGATAAGACAGACTTGGGCTCCAATGAAGTGTGATCGAAAGGCGTACGTGATTGTTGCCACTTCCAGATTGAATGGGGTGGAAGAGTATAATACCATTTCTGTGCTCGTGGCCCCAGTGTGAGGGAAAACATCCGACATCTCAAAGCGTCCGAGGCACCATGCAAATCCATCCAAGATGTATAATGACCTAAATGTGCGTCAGGATCCGAAGTTCCATCATACATGCCAATTTGCGGGATTTTTATCTTAGCAGGGAGTGCTTCCGCAGTAAGTTCGGGAGCTAACGGTGAAAATCAGCTTCAACGATGACATTTCCCGACGTCGAGACATGTGGGGGAGAATCTTCTTGTGATTTATGTCGAGTCTCAATTTCAGCCAATCTTTTACGGAGGACCTCCATTTCCTCTACACTATGTCTCGACACACGATTTCACTCAATTTGATGCCGTAAATCTTCACGATCACAAGGCACCGGTGAGGGAGGTCTAGGACGTGAAGGAATTCTCTGACGATGAGCAGAATGGCTTTCAGCAGTCATTTCTTGTACAAGAAGCTCGTTCGTGATTCGGTTATTTAATACAGGATTAGCGGTTACACGAGTCATATCATCTCGATGCGGAGAAGTATGGCGTGGTTGTGAAGTATCATGTGATACTGCTATATGTGTCTGTTGGTCATGATGAGAAAGAGTTGGATGTTCTATTGGGTTCGTGGGAAAAGGTGTAGGCGTTGGTATAGTGTTTAAAGTTCTGGGCATGGCTCGGGCTATAAGTGATGTCAACCCCTGAATAAACTCCGGGTTTTGAAGAAAACTATCGATATTGGTTACCGGAGGTGACGGTGTTGAACGCCTTGGGGAACGATTCGTGGCATGCTTTGACCAGCGTGGGAGGCGTGTTCTCGACCAGATTGCGACATGGGAGATTTGAGCGAATAATGGCTACAGTGGCAAAAGTTAACCTCAAAAACTTAAGTGCCCTCTTTCTAGCGCCAAACTGTTGTTATGTGGGAATTAACAACAGTAATATAATGAAAATTACGTTGAGTGTTCAATACGGATTAATGTATGACATGAAAGTTGAAAAGCAGAGTTTTTTGAATGTTATAGTATTGTTTTTTTTTTTTTTTTGTATATCCTGTCCAGAGAGTTTCTTATCTCCCTTTTATATTAATTTACAACATTTATCAGAAATGTAATCATTACATTAGAAAAGTCAATGGTGGCTGATCGCCATTCATTCTCGTAGCACGCCACTTGGCAAGGCGCAATGATGATTTGTGCTGAGTTGGCGCCGCCTTATGATGTCGGTCTGGCAAGTCATAGATATCGGTTTGTTAAGTCATAACCGATATGTCATAACCGACGTGTCATAACCGATATGAGATGTCGATTAGTTGATAAGGATGTCGGTTCTTAGTCTGTCTTCGTCCGATATGTGAGTACTTCGGAATTCATGAGCATGTCATCCCTTTAAGAGAATATAATCTTCTGATTATTGAGCACTAAAAACCAATGAGTAGTAATAACTTGGTTTACCGAAAAACATATCAACAGGTACCATCGGGATGGTCGCTTGATCAGCACATTTACAAGCATACCTTCCCCTGGTAAGGGAATTCTCACACAATACTCGACATCCCCTATTTGGTACTTCCAGAACACGCCGGCTTTGTTAGATACCGATGGAAACTTCACGCCTTATTGACACGAGCAGTATCTCGAATCAGTAGTCTGAGAAAGTTATACAGACTAGCTCATCTTGAGTCTTCCGACTATACGTGTCGGCCGCTTCATTAGTTCTCCAAACAAGATTTAGGTCATCGCCATACACGTGTAAAATTCTCGGCATTTACACACTAGAGATTTGGCAGTTGTGGCATGAATGGCTGGCCTGGCATGCGGCAACGCGCATGCTACGTGCGGCACACTACGCACGGCATTTCCTATGACTCGAGATGTATCATCGAGCGTGGCACGCCTGTGCGCGGCACGAGCACGCAGTACACCTACATCACCCGCATCTAGTAGCTACGGCTTATTCGTCATCAACTGTTACATCTCCCCGTGTTGATACGTACACGAAGATTGGAAACCCCCTAATGTTTTGCGACCCTAGTCCAAACTACAAAATACAAGTACTCTGACTTTGCTGTTATGTTACTTATACTTCATGATGAGCCGGTTGGCTTGCAGAACATCATTGTCCTCTTCAATCATAATTCCCTTCAGTGGTGATTACTCTCAATGTTTTGTCACACCTCCTTGGCTACCCTTTTTAAAGACTTCTTCTATTTCAAAACATTTATAGAACTGGCCTGAAACTCCTCACGATCTCCCCGTATGACGCTCAATTTGTTCATGAAAGAATGATTGGCATAAGCCTATTCTAGGCACCCAGGTATTTTTAAGAGTTGCAACATTCTCTGCTCTCTAGAACCTTTCACATTGACTTAAAGATCTCGCGAAACAATACTCCTAAATCTACGAGAAAAGGTAAGGATCAACAAAAAAATTTAGACTCTTAAACCCATCAGAAAACTCATTCTACGCAAGGAAAGAAAAGACAAAAAAAAAATTCTTAATTACGAAAGTTAAATAACCAAGTAGAGTCTCAAAACGAAGTTCAAACTTGCTTAACAAGCAAAAGGAAAGAAACAAGGTTTGCCCAAAGTTACGAGAAATGCAATTCTAACAAAAAGAAGGAACAAATAATCATCTCAAATCCGACATTCGATTAACTGCTCAGCCTTGGTTCAGCTCGGCTTCATACAGGGCCATCGTGTATATCCGTGCTCGACCTCCTTCACCTAACCTAGGTTGGGCCTGCTGAGGTGGCAGCGGGAGCTGGTGCTGCTGCTGAAAAGGTCCTTGCTGCGGCCTCGGGGGTTCGGGACAAAATTTGGCCGAATGACTGGGGCGATAGCAATTGTAAGCTGTGCTGTCTGGCATGCTCCAAATTGTGTATCTGCCGCAGTGATTGCAGGGACCGATGCCCGGGGCCGGTTGTTGTGATTTTCTGAACCTCCACGTTTTCCCTTTCGGTTATCTCGGTGGGATTCAGCCTTTCTCGTGCCCGAGCTAGAACCGGGTGCAACTGCTGTAACTGGTTGAGCAGCATAGTAGTACGAGGGAGCTAACGCTATCGGAATGAGACAACTCTCCATTTCATGTGCCCGAAGTACAGTATCACCATAGGACATGAAACTGTGACTCCCAACCAGCTCACGGATCCTCTTGTTCAGCCCCTTCAGAAATTTTTGGGCCTTCTTCTCGTCGGTATTCACCATCTCACCGGCGAAGATGCTCATCCTGGTGAAGTTGCGCGTGTACTCATCCACGCTAGAGTTGCCCTGCTGCAGGTGCCAGAAATCATGCTCCATCCGATCACGAAAGCTCTGCGGTAGGAACTTGCCCCAGACAATCTCCTTCATCCGGTTCTAAATAAGAGCATCACGCTCAGCCACTGGCCTCAGAGCCCAGTAGTCAAGCCACCAGTCGGATGCATCCGCCTTCATCTGAAAAGCGGCAA